ATATATATATATATATATATATATATACATACATATTATGTACAAGGTACAGATAATTTTTGAACACACGTACGTACGTATGTCGTGTATGATTGAATAAATCGAAATACGTACTGTCCGTTGGTAATTATCGGCGCAAATGTTTGGATTGGGAACAAAGAGAAACTTACGTGGTAAGTTTCTAGATTGGCAAGTTATTATTTGAAAAGCAATTATCGCTCGATTCCAAGCGATGTATTCACGACTGCGATGATACGAGTTGAGAAGAAATGTCGGCTCGGTATGCTGTAAGTAGCGATTCGTGTAATGCGCGACACGCTTATTCGCGTAAGAAATCGACCGATCGATGGTTGACTCGCTTCTATGCGTGGTGACCAACTATTTACATATATACAGCTACGTAGTTACGATTTTCGAGCAGACACCGTTGTACGTTATATTTCGTGTAATACAAACTGGAATATATTTCTATATTTTACTTGGTTCTATCCTTGGAGAATAGAACCAAGTAGTTACTGTGGCAAATATGTCCACTCACGTCCGTGTTGTTCCTGCTTAGGTTTGAGAAAAGATCTTGGAAAGAGGTAGAATAACGACATACGTATATCGTCGAGCGAGGCAGATTCGTATATCGTACGCGACGTTGCTTTGCAATTGGGTGAATTCCAGAGAGGTGAACCAGAGAGGTGAATTAAATATTTTCAAAGATATGTACAAATATTTATCGCTGTGCCGAGAGAGGGAAAAGTTTCGTGCTCGGCTGATCGATGCGATGAAGCAGAGAGGAAAGAGAGAAAAGGGGGAAGGAGAAGAGGCGAAAGATGACGACGTGATCGTGGAAAATAACGATGACATTTTACGCTACTACTATTATTTGACCCGAGGCATCGACGATACTTACGTAGGAGCAATGGACGTGGATCTTCTGAAGAATATAGTGAAACGCGTGCCGACCAAATGGAAAGAGAAGTTTAAAGAATCGTTGAATCGTTTGGTAGAGGAAGCGAAGGAGGGATATGTATTGAACGTGAAGATGTCAGTTGTAGAGTTTGTTATCGGAGACTCGATGTATTGTTCGTTGAAAGAGGTACGTTTCCTTTTAATTTAATTAAATTCCCTCGCAAGTCTTCGATATCTTCGATATTCGATCGAATTGAACGATTGAACGATTGAACGATTGAACGACCGACGATTGTTACGATTAATCGGCAGGAGCGACGCGCGCGTGTCGCTCGAATTCTGTCGAGACAGAGGATACGTACACCTCTATTTTCTATTCTGGTCTGATTTCTCGAGTACTGTCTGTCGAGTAAGATCAGACGTTACGCGACAAGTGTAACGATATCGTATCACGCGTATTAATGAAATCGCTCGAAGGACTTGCGAGATATTTACGAGAGAGAGTGAATTCGAGAAACGATAAAGATTGAAGACAGAACGATACGATTTGATTTGCAGTTTACTGGATTTGAAAGGAACAAGGAGCAAAGATTCGACAGAGCACGATTGCAACCGAAAGAACACGAGGTTAACTATCGATGGAACAGAGCGAGGCTCGAAAGAAGAATTATATTGTATCGTCCTGTTGTACGACGAATTTTCGATTATTGGTATCGCGAATTCAGGTTGGTTTCTTATTCGGTACTCTACGAATCGGTTGCTATTCGCACGACCGAGCGATTTTTGCTTTGCGCGAAATTCTCTCTCCCGTCAATGTGGTCGTTAAATTTCCAAGAATTCAGGCAGATCGACAGATCGTTGCACCGTCGCAGGCAGGCGTTCTCCTTTCTTTCTCGCAACAACACTCGGTTGCGCAAGTTTGGATAACGCTGGTCCAAGCACGATGACACGTTAGAAACTTGTTGCTAGAATTGCTGTGATTGTCTGCTACTAATAATAATACGCACGCTGTTCCGATAACGCGTTACGTCTTCTGACACTTATCCAGTGACTGCAAACTCATCGATGGAAGAGAATTGGCAGCACGCGAGACATCGTACGATCTCGGCAGTTTCGAAAGGATCGTTTCAAGGATGTGCTCTGGGATAAAAGAGGAGCTTGCCAAGCATTGGTTACCGAAAATTC